CAAAACCAATCTTGGGGGTCTGTGTGTCTTTGGATTTCACCGATGCGCGTTGCCGCGAAGGTTTTGAATCCATAACTCTGTTTCTGGATCATGGCACGGACAATCATGCTGTCTACGATATAAAATACTCTTTGAAAGCAAATGTTGGTTTCCTCCATTATGGTTTTCGCCAACCGTTTGCTCAAGACTGCTGCACTTAATTCTAGTCGAACAATGCTTGTAATTTCTATCGACGCAACTCTACTTTTGGAAGCCATCAAATGGGACTCATATCTTCCATCTTGCACTTCGTACCTTATGTATGCAACAGCTCCCATAGCTTTCTCTGATGCATCAGAGAACATCACTAGTGTGGGGTCCGCTCCTGGCTTAGCTGCCACTGGCTTGACACACCGTTTAAACATTATTCCTGCGCTGTCTTCCAGGTCATTAAACAATTTAAACCACTCTCGTTGATATTCATCTTTAATTGGCTCATCCCACGCAAGACCTTCACCCCATAACTTCCTTAGTAGAATCTTGGCTCTCACAGTCACTGGCGTCAATAGACCCAATGGATCATACACTGCATTAATTTTGCTCAAACAAATCCTCTTTGTAAGCGGTTGAGGAACGTCATGAAACATACTGAAGTTTCCTTGAAAGGTTAATAGGTCTTCTTTCGGCTTCCAACAGATCCCTAATACCTTCTTCGTCTCCAAAGATCGGTCTTGCTTTTTCCCACTCTCCTCTCCAGATATTATCCACTCCTTTATAGAAAAGTTTCCAGGTTTTAGCAGACAATCCACTTCCTTTGTCAGCCTTTCAGCCATTTCTCTTGTCTCTACACACTGCAACACGTCATCCATGTAGACGTTGTTTAGTATAGTATCTGCTGCTTCAGGAGCTTTCTCTCTACCCACTTCTGCTGTTTTTCGTAATGCTGCGATAGCTATGGTGGCTGATGGCTTGTCGCCAAAATTGACTGCCGTTACACAGTAAGTTTTTGGTGGTTTCTCTGTTTCAAGCCCTCTCCACAAGAATCTATGGCAATGCTGATCAATTAAGGATATACTAATGGAGTGAAACATCTTCCGGATGTCACCAACTAGAGCTACTTGCTCACCCCTGAATCTCAGCAAAACTGCTAGTAAGTTGTTGTTCAGGTCTGGGTCTTTAGCCCAATAATCATTTAACATGTGCCCTTTGTAACTAGCGCTACTGTTGAATACTATTCTA